AATGACCTTGGCAAGAGGTGCAAGGCAGTTGGTGGTGCAGGAGGCGTTGGAGATGATGTTCTGGTCGGCGGTGTACTCGGTGTGGTTCACACCCATGACGTACATCCTGCACGAAAAAATCCAACATCGAGGTTTTCATGAACGGCTCAACACCAATATAGAATCTTGGCAAGACATTGCTCGATTGATCTGCACGTACGGAGCGTCAGCGCTGGGAGCGGAGATGACAACGCGCTTGGCGCCACCGGTGATGTGAGCGGCAGCCTTGTCCTTGGTGGTGAAGACTCCGGTGGACTCCACAACGTAGTCGGCACCAGCCGAGCCCCAGGCAATCTCAGCCGGGTCCCTCTTGGCGAAGACCTTGACCTCCTTGCCGCCAAAGATCAGGGTGGACTCGTCCTTCACGGAGACATCGCCCTTCCATTGGCCGTGGACGGTATCGTACTTGAACATGTACACCATGTACTGCAAAGGAACATTGAAATTTGAGACATTGCCCTCGAGAGTGTCAGACATTGATCTTGGATCTTGATGATTAGTAAAGCATCCAGTAAGAAAGGTGAACACATCAGGGTGTAGATCAAAGATTCTTCAGGACGTACGGTGGTGTCAATGAAGGGGTCGTTGATAGCAACCAGCTCCACATCATCGCGCTTAAGGATAGCCCTGGCGACGAGACGGCCAATGCGGCCGAATCCTGAAAACAATCATTATTTCACGAAATGAGATCCAAGATTGTTGAATCTGCAAAACATGAATCCAGGAGCTAAGAAATCGTAAACGCACCGTTAATGCCGATCTTGACGGGGGCTGAATCGCAGGAAGTGGGAGACGGAACAGACAGAACACGATAAATAGAACGGTTATTAGCTCCATATTGTCAATGCACCACAACTACGGAGAACAAAATTGAATCTAAGCTTACCCATGGCTAGATGACGAAGAAAACTTTAGAGATCTGGCAGAGAGGACGGGAAAGAATGGCACGGGGAACGAGCAGGTGAGATTCTCGATGACTTGAGAATATAAGGAGGATGGACGAGCCTTCTAAAGCTAATCTTTACCTGAAACGAGAGTGGAAGCTGGCTGGAAGTATGGCCAAGTATGCTTCACGTACAGAAGCAGAAGTTGGTAAAATGATGTTCGTGAAACTCTTTATGTATGACCAAGATACCTGAAACTGACATTTCTTTCGCATGGCACTGGCATGCGAATAGCCGTCACGGAATCTGAGCTGGGCACATTGTTTCGGGCAAACCCGGGAATGCAGGAGGAAGATCTTTTCCTCGTGCTGACGATGACATGCCTCCTGGCCCAAAACGAGCCGCTAGTACACGTGGCAGAGGCGCTGCTGGGTGGGAGCTGGCGAGACACTGCCCTGCCAACGCGACTTTTTCGGGCCAACATCACAAACATGCAAATTAGTGTGGTAACCCTATGCAATGGTATGCAAAACCGTCGATACCCCAGTAGTGCTGCGCAAGTTTGTCTGGTACCGCCACTGTGTAACACTGTGACAGCTGACGCAGCACAAAAAACGAAGAAATATGCGATAAGAACGGTTGCGTTTATTTTTTCGAATATGTTTGGTTCTTACCGCGCCTTGTATGGCGCCTAAATACGATTCCTTCGGGCAACAATCTTCCGCTAAATGTGCACGATACATTTAACGGTGAATTCCGTTGGAATGAAAGTATACGGGAACCATTTTGTAACAATGGATTGCACCCAATATTTTCGTACCGGAAATTGTTCGGGCATGGAATAAAACAAAATAAAACCCCTAAGGACCTCGACGCAAATCCGGGAGGGATCAACCCTAAACACGGGAAAGGGCATTGTTTTTTGGGTTGATGCCTCCCTGATTCGATCTTTTTCCCATTGGGTTTTATTCTTTTCCTGAGTCAGGTGTAGTGCACAGTGTTGTTCATCTGGCAGAAACAGTTGCCCGAAGAAATCATAGTTTAGCGCAAAGATAAACGCGGTAGGGATCAAACAATTTAATGAAACGCAAACGCGCGACTAGGGCAACATCCAAATTACTCCAAAACTGGAGTATCGACGGTTTTGCATACCAATGCATAGGGTTGCCACACTAATTTGCATGTCTATGATGTTGGCCCGACTTTTTCTTCCAGCATGGCGCCAGCACAGCCTAGTTTCACCAGCGTGGTCGCTGGGCAAGTTGGATCTGCCCAACCAAAGTGGTGGGAAGCCCGAAACCTTTGGAGGGGTGTACCGAACAAGCCAGTTGGGTTGGAGGAATCTCCGCTGTGCAGCCATTGGTGGAGGTGGAGGTCCTGTTTTGGTTTATAGCCGCAAACATAAGATTTTACAACTGCGTATAGTAACACGTGATTCGGAGTGTTTTTCCTTCTCTGTACACAAATGAGATACCTAATCACGAAGCATTTTCCGATTGCAAGAACCCACCCGTCTGCCGAACACCACTCTGCACTGCACTGCAGCGCAACCTGCTGGCTGAACATTCCGCACCGCGCGGACGCCCACCAGTTCAAGCGGCTGGGGAGTCCGCGACGCGAGTGAACAATTTTTTCCATTTCCCTCGCTTTTTTCGCACCAACACGTTTTCATTTCACCCAACAGCCGCTTTTCCTCTCACCTCCCTCACACACCTACTCCTTTGCTTTTCGCAGTCATGCGAGAAGCAGACGGCCCGAGTGAGCTTGCCAAGCACAGGACAGCAGCCAATTTCGTACCCATCTTGCTCCTCAGCCTCCTTCCCACGGCTCGGTCTACCATTCCCAGTGCATGGTCCGGCTTGACTGAATCCTTTACCGAAACGATTTCCGCTTTTCCCCCTTCGCAGCAAAACTGTCTGATAATTTCAATACCACACTCCAGTGCTCTGGTCCTCGCGAGGGACAGTGATCGGGGTCACGTGCGTCGTGGCAACTATCAGCGCTTTCACCTCAGTTTTCGCGCTCGTTCTTGCCTGCCGTCCCAGTGTAGCGCTCGCTTATTCCTGGACTGCTTAATAGTTTTTTTAAAAAGGCCGACCTTTCTGTGGAGATCTTACTTAGCTTGTAAATTCCGGAAACCAAGTGGTAATTCTGAAGGGTGCGCCGGCACGTTAGCTTTCCTATCCATCTCTGGTTTTGTGGTTTCGGAAACGCCGGTTACCACCAGCTCACCGTGGCGCTCTCCTCCTGAAGCCGCGCGGAGTTTTTAGGTGGCGCACAGCGCGTTTCCTGCCCTTGCTAGAGCCAATTACATTTGACGTGAATCCTGTTTTGACCCGTCAGACTCCGTACACAATAGGAACTCCTATTCGTTGTGTGAACCTCTAAAAGGCTCGATATGCGGACGGCGGCGCCGGTCTGCCGTTATCCCATCTGCCGTATCTTCCCCGCCGCTTCCCCGTCAGCCTCGATAGGACCAGATTGCAAATAGACATGTTGTCGAGTCGCTTTGTTTGAGCCCCGTTGTCGAAACGCGATATAAAGCTGCTGAACAGGTGGTTCGTAGCGAAACACTAGTTTTTTCACAAGATGGCTCAACGACTATCGCAACTATTAGTAGAGGGGATAAAAGACTCCGTATCAGAACTGTCGATTCAAGAACGGCAGACGAAACGACATCTCGGCGTACTCCGCAATTTTCGCCGCTACGACCGGAGCTGGGGCGCGCAGACCATGCGGCGGCACAATCTAGGTTCAATTCTGGTTGCAATATCCCACGCTACGCTCGCGATATTGGTAGCGTCTTCGCTGCTGTGCGACAGCGTCGCAGCTGGAGCAGCGGCAGAGTCGCACGGTCAAATCTGGTCGCACGTTGACTCCCTTTCTGCACTCTCGTCATCGTCGTCGCCTGTTGCGACGTTTTCGCCAGAATCGACTCTCGCGTACCTGCTGACTGGCGAGAGTAGCGCACATCCGCGACGGCTGCAGGCGAAGACTAAGGCATCGAAAGCGGCCGGCTGCGATTATCGCAAGGGCAGGTACGCGAGGGTAACCAGTATCTCGGCCAAATCGCCAATGATCTCGCTACGAATCAGTTGCTGGGAATTCGAAGAATTCTGGAAATTGTGAAAGTTCTGAGAATTGTGTTTGGCGCTTGATATTCATCTCAATTTCTTTCTTCTTTTGTGCCCTGACCCTACTCATTCTTCTTATCACTCTCCCGTAGCTCTCCGCACCCCCTCTTCCCATACCTCCCCCTACTCCCTCTCTCCGTACCAATTCCTCTCCTTCTAGCCTAATCTCATAAATAGCAGTCTCCATACTCCTTCTAGCCTATGCACCTCACTCTTGCACCGCCTCTTTCCTCATTTCCCCCTACCCCTCCTTACTCACCCCCTTTCCCGCCACTCCTCAGACTGCCTATTCATATCACCAATCCCCTCCCCTCCCTTTTCCCCGAACGTCACCAATCCTACTTCCTTCCCGCTCCCCCTCCCCCTCCCTACACACCCTTCCATTTTTATTTCCGCCTCCCAAACCACCCTGCGCAGCTGGGTGCACATTTCCAAGATACCCGGGTACAAGGTGCCGTATCCCCTAAACTGCTCGAAGCACTTCAGCTGCGCCAACGTGCCTCCCAGGAAGCAGCACCCGTCCAACTACGTCTGGGTGCCCGCGCCGCCCTGCAACTACTACACGTGGAAGTGCGTGATTGGAGGGATTTGACCAGGAGAGGAATGGGGTTCGTGTGGTGTGGCTGTTGTTACACTGCGTCATAGCACTGGTTAGATTATTCGAGCTTTGATTGGGGAGCATTGTAGCTTTACGCTTACAATCACATGATCGTTATATTCACAACCGCACGCACATCGTTCCCCCTCCGCTGCCCCTGCCCCCCAGGTTCAATGGCAAACGATTTCTGAAAAAGATGCGAAACACTGTGATGGCACTGCCGTTTTGATCACCTTCATCCCTTTCTTCGTTGTAATCACACTCGCGCACATCGTTCTCCCTCCGCTGCCCCTGGCCCCCAGGTTCAATGGCAAGCGGTTTCTGAAGAAGATGCGAAACACTGTGATGGCGTTTGTAGGTGACTCGTTAAACGACAACCTGTACGAGGGTATCGTGTGCCTCCTGCAAGCAACAACACGGGTAGTGGTGAGTCGCAACTATAAGCCTCACGTTGTGCATTATAAAGAGGATTTCTTTGCGACTCACTAAACACACATGTACGAGGGTATCGTGTCCCTCCAGCAAGCAAATAACACGGGTAGTGGTGAGTTGCAACTATAAGCCTCATGTGTGCATTATAAAGAGGATTTCTTTGCGACTCGCTAAACGACAACATGTACGAGGGTATCGTGTGCCTCCTGCAAGCAACAACATGGGTACTGGTGAGCAATCACAACTTTTATATTATACATTTACAAAGAACCTATAAGAAGGCTCGGGTTGGCAATCGGAGACTCGGGTCATACTATGTGGCCATTTACAACCTCACCAGTCCCTCCCATTCCTCCTCTCCTTCCCCTCTACCCCCTCTGCTTTCTCTCCCTTTCTCCCTCTCCCCCATCCACACTCCAGTTCAAGAAGGTCACGGTGGGCAATCGGAGACTCGGGTCATACTATGTGCCAAACTACAGGCCCGCTCCCTTTCCATCCGCTCCCCCTTCTCTTCCCTTGTCCTCCCCTCGCCCCTCTCTCCCTCCCCCGCACCAGTTCAAGAAGGTCAAGGTGGGCAATCGGCGGCTCGGATCGTACTTCGTACCAAATTACAATCTCACCACTCTCACCATCAACAGTGGCTACCTCGTTCAAAGCCCGCGATATGTGAGTGTAATAAATGTGTGAGAGTGTATAAAATGTGACTTATTCAGGTGTATTGTGTATCACACGTCTTGAGCCGAACTACAAGCTCACCACTCTCACCATCAACAGCGGCTACCTGGTTCAAAGCCCACGATATGTGAGTTTACTGAGGGTGCTTATAATGGATAGATAGTGTACAATACAACCTCACCACTCTCACCATCAACAGCGGCTACCTGGTTCAAAGCCCACGATATGGGAGTGTAGTGAGGGTGCTTTTATTGGATAGGTAGTGTACAACCTCACCACTCTCACAATTAACAGCGACTACCTCGTTCAAAGCCCACAATATGTGAGTTTACTCTGGGTGCTTTAACTGGATACATAGAGCGCATCACGTTCCGTTTTTTAATTGCAACTTTACTACTCTCACTTGGGGTTCATTGCACAATACACAATGAACCTACTTTTGAGTCGACTCAAAAACAACCTCACTACTCTCACTTGGGGTTCATTGCGCAGTACACAATGAACCCCAAGTGGGCCACTTTGTTCCCTCCTCAAGTGGGTCACTCTCCTTCCACCTCCACTGTATAACTCCTTCCCATTCCCCATCCTCCATCTCCCCACTCTGCCCTGTATCCCCCTACCCCATCAGACCGCCAACCACAAGACAGCGGTTTACACAATGAACCCCAAGTGGGCCACGCTCCTCCCTTACACGGACGCTATAGTCTTCAACGCAGGCCACTGGTTCTTCCATCCGGTGAGTGCGCGAGTGAGTGCCTGTCGTGATACATGATACTACTCTGTTGGTGCGTGCTACCGTAACAGCAGTGCCGCATCACCCCCAAGTGGGCCACGCTCCTCCCATACACTGGTTCTTCCACCCGGTGAGTGTGTGAGTGCGTGTCTGTCCTGTCGCACCTGGTGTGCTACAGCGCTACAGGCTTACGGTAGTACTGCACTACACCCACTCTCCATTAACTGCTGCTCGCTGGAATGTCTTTTAATCAGCTAGGCTTACGGCAGTACTGCACTACACCCACTCTCCTCCCACACACGGAGCTGCTGCTTTTGAGTCGACTCAGAAGCCCTTTCTTCCCATACACGGAGCTGCTGTCTTCTTCACCTTCTCCCTTTATCCGCTCTTCCGTCCCCCGCCCCCTCTCCCCCTCTCCTTCCCCCAACAGCCCAAGGACCAAACCAGTCCCTGGTACCCCATACCGGTCATGAGCAAGGCGCTGGTAACCGTGCGGGACTATTTCGCCAAGGCTAACTACAAGGGCGCTGCAGTGTTCTCCCCCGTGCATGACAAGGCCTTCTGCCCCCTCCTCGCTCTCTCATCCCCATCTCCCCCAAGGCAAACTACAAGAGAGCAGCCGTGTTCTTCACCTTCTCCCAACTCTCCTCACTCATTCTTCTCCCTCCCATTCCCCTTCTTTCCCCCTCCCCTTTCCCCCTCCCTTTCCCCCACCCTTCCCACGCACAGCCCAAGGACCAGACCACTCCCTGGTACCCCATCCCAGTAATGAGCAATGCGCTGGTCACAGTGCGGGACTATTAGCTGCTGTCTTGTTCACCTTTCCTCTTACTCCCCCACCTGCTTCTTCCCCTCCTCCCCCCTCTCCCCCCACAGCCCAAGGACCAGACCACTCCCTGGTACCCCATCCCAGTCATGAGCAAGGCGCTGGTAACCGTGCGGGATTATTAGCTGCTGTCTTGCTTGTTCACACCCTCGTTCCTCTTCCTCCCATCCCCCCATTCCACCCCTCCCAACCCCCACATCGCACAGCCCAAGGACCAGACCACTCCCTGGTACCCCATCCCGGTCATGAGCAAGGCACTAGTCACGGTTAGAGACTATTTCGCCAAGGCCAACTACAAGGGAGCAGCCGTGTTCTTCACCTTCTCCCCCGTGCATGACAAGGGCTACTGCAACGCCGCCCAGCCGTTCCCATCGAACGTGCAAGCAGACAACACGCTCATGAGCTTCATACTGCCAGCCATGAAGAAACAGGTGCGTGGGTGGTTGCTGGTAACCAGGTAACTGAAGGGGCTCTTTTATCATGTGCAAGCAGGCAACACGCTCATGAGCTTCATACTGCCAGCCATGAAGAAACAGGTGCGTGGGTGGTTGCTGGTAACCAGGTAACTGAAGGGGCTCTTTTATCATGTGCAAGCAGGCAACACGCTCATGAGCTTCATACTGCCAGCCATGAAGAAACAGGTGCGTGATAACCACCTGGTTACCACTTGGTTACCACTGTGCAAGTGCTAATTGATGTGGTCTATGGGCGGTGCACCGAACGTGCAAGCGGACAACACGCTCATGAGCTTCATACTGCCAGCCATGAAGAAACAGGTGCGTGGGTGGTTGCTGGTAACCAGGTAACTGAAGGGGCTCTTTTATCATGTGCAAGCAGGCAACACGCTCATGAGCTTCATACTGCCAGCCATGAAGAAACAGGTGCGTGGGTGGTTGCTGGTAACCAGGTAACTGAAGGGGCTCTTTTATCATGTGCAAGCAGGCAACACGCTCATGAGCTTCATACTGCCAGCCATGAAGAAACAGGTGCGTGATAACCACCTGGTTACCACTTGGTTACCACTGTGCAAGTGCTAATTGATGTGGTCTATGGGCGGTGCACCGAACGTGCAAGCGGACAACACGCTCATGAGCTTCATACTGCCAGCCATGAAGAAACAGGTGCGTGGGTGGTTGCTGGTAACCAGGTAACTGAAGGGGCTCTTTTATCATGTGCAAGCAGGCAACACGCTCATGAGCTTCATACTGCCAGCCATGAAGAAACAGGTGCGTGGGTGGTTGCTGGTAACCAGGTAACTGAAGGGGCTCTTTTATCATGTGCAAGCAGGCAACACGCTCATGAGCTTCATACTGCCAGCCATGAAGAAACAGGTGCGTGATAACCACCTGGTTACCACTTGGTTACCACTGTGCAAGTGCTAATTGATGTGGTCTATGGGCGGTGCACCGAACGTGCAAGCGGACAACACGCTCATGAGCTTCATACTGCCAGCCATGAAGAAACAGGTGCGTGGGTGGTTGCTGGTAACCAGGTAACTGAAGGGGCTCTTTTATCATGTGCAAGCAGGCAACACGCTCATGAGCTTCATACTGCCAGCCATGAAGAAACAGGTGCGTGGGTGGTTGCTGGTAACCAGGTAACTGAAGGGGCTCTTTTATCATGTGCAAGCAGGCAACACGCTCATGAGCTTCATACTGCCAGCCATGAAGAAACAGGTGCGTGATAACCACCTGGTTACCACTTGGTTACCACTGTGCAAGTGCTAATTGATGTGGTCTATGGGCGGTGCACCGAACGTGCAAGCGGACAACACGCTCATGAGCTTCATACTGCCAGCCATGAAGAAACAGGTGGGTGATTAACGGGGATCATTCTTCTCTGAATCCTCCTGCAAGGGCGCCGAGTCATACTACAAGGGCGCGGCAGTGTTCTTCGCCTAGTCCAATCGAGCCCCAAACAGGAGCCATGGTCAATGCGTGGCAGCAGTTACGTTTAGCAAACTGTTTTTAAGTTTGTGTAGGCTTGCTTGTAAAAAACCCTTGTGAAAAGGAATTTGGCGCCGAGTCATACTACAAGGGCGCCGAGTCATACTACAAGGGCGCGGCAGTGTTCTTCACCTTCTCCCCCATACACGAGAAGGGCTACTGCAACGCCGCCCAGCCATTCCCGCCGAACATGCAAGCAGACCACACAGTGACGCCCATCAGGTGGGCAGTGACGCCCACCTGTTTCCCTCCTCCCTACCCTGTCCCCTTATAATCCCTCCCTCCTGGTGACAGTAGTGAAATGGTCAACCATGAAGGTCGCTGAGGTTGCCTACATGAGTGCCATGCGTATTTGTATGACTTTTGAGAATTCTCATGAGTGCCATGCGCCCTGACGCCCACCTGGGGCTCACCTGACCCGCTCTTCCCCTCCCCCTGACCCTCCCTCCCATTCCTCCCTCCCCGCCCAACCACGTCAGGTGACAGTGATGAAAAGGTCGACCATGAAGGTAGCAGAAGGCATCTGCATGAGTGCCATGCGCCCTGACGCCCACCTGCGGCTCACCTGACCCGCTCTTCCCCTCCTTCCTCTCTCGTGCGTGCCTCCCTCTTGCTTCCCTGGCCCACCACAATATCCCAGGTCACAGTGATGAAAAGGTCTACCATGAAGGTAGCAGAGGTTACCTACATGAGCGCCATGCGCCCAGACGCCCACCTGTGGCTCAACGGCCGCGACTGCAGCCACTGGTGCCTTTGTTACCCCACTAAGACTCACTCTCCTCCCCCCACCTGGGGTTGAATGGGCGCGACTGCAGCCACTAGTGCCTGCCGACCACTGGAGCTCACTCCCTTCTTCCCCTTTTTCCTTCTTACCTCACCAGGTGACCGTGATGAAAAGATCGACCATGAAGGTAGCAGAGGTGACCTACATGAGCGCTATGCGCCCAGACGCCCACCTGTTTCTGAACGGGCGCGACTGCAGCCACTGGTGCCTACCGGGTGTTCCTGACGCTTGGTCCGATGTGCTGTATAACATCCTGATGGGCGTGCGGAGGAACTTCACATGAGGAGGAGGGAGGGACCTGGGGTGTGGGAGAGGTGTGGGACTTGGGGTGAGGGATGTGGAGGAAGGAGGGACTGCAGCCACTGGTGCCTACCAGGTGTTCCTGACGCTTGGTCCGACGTGCTGTATAACATCCTGATGGGCGTGCGGAGGAACTTCACATGAGGAGGAGGGAGGAGGGACCTGGGGTGTGGGAGAGGTGTGGGACTTGGGGTGAGGGATGTGGAGGAAGGAGGGACTGCAGCCACTGGTGCCTACCAGGTGTGCCTGACGCTTGGTCTGATGTGCTGTATAACATCCTGATGGGCGTGCGGAGGAACTTCACATGAGGTGTGGAGCGTGGGTGTTGGGTAAAGTAGGAGGAGGGACTGCAGCCACTGGTGCCTGCCGGGTGTGCCTGATGCCTGGTCTGACGCGCTATACACGAGGAGGAGGGTCTGCAGCCACTGGTGCCTCCCTCTTCCTCATGGGTGAACGTCACATGAGGGAGAGGGAGGGATCTGGGGTATGAGGTGTGACATGTGGAGGGATGGGATGGGAGGGGTGGGGTGCAACCGCCGTTGCCTGCCGGATGTGCTGGATGCCTTCTCTATATGGAACATCCGCACGTTGTTTTGTCGGCTGGAGAATTTGCCGAATGCTGGATGCCTGCTCTATACAGTACATCCTCGTGGAAACAGGCACGACACACATACTACGGTACCGGTACTAAATTCTGAATAACTTCACTCACACGAGCAGGAACATGGGCCACCCTGAATTGCTTCTTGGCTCGAGAGAGACTCTAGAGACTGCTGTGTTTTCTTTTCTTTGTTCGATTTCTCTGCGTGCCAACTGTTTCTGTGCTAGCTGTCACTTTGTCACGTCACATGGATTGGTACATATATACCATGTGATATACTGTATCTTCCTTGTTGCCGCTGCTATGCTATGCAATAATAGCAAAGCTTTCGATTGCATGCTTCTTTATCAGTACTAAAGTTCAACAACCGCTTTTGCTCCACCGCCGTACTTGATAGTCAGATGTGCTTCAATGGCCAAAGTTCTATTCTATTGCGAGACACTGTCAAAACAGTCTACCTACCTAGTACTTCGAGTTGGGGGTTCAAACCCAACACTTTGCTTTGCACCCTACCTATAGGTACGGTAGTATGATCAACCAACCCAACCCTACCCCTTCACAGATCTTTAAAAGGCAAGTGTTTCTTTGCCTTGATATAATCCTTGAGTAACCTCTTCTGCTCATCTATCCTCTTCCCCTCCTCCCTACTCGCCCCCACTTGCTCCCGTCTCTTCGCTTCCAATATCCACTTCAAAACTTCCAGCTGCCCGTCCAGGTCAATTTTCGACACCTGCCCGCCGGTATAAGCCATCCCGGGCACCCCAGATTCTTCCCCAGCACCACCACCAGCGCCATCCCCCGTTACAGTCACACCTGCCGGCCCAACCATCGCCTCCATATCCCATGATTGCATCTCAGACGTTCGTTTGTGGCCCGAGGAGGAAGCTGCATGGGAAGCTTCCTCAGAAACGGTACCAGGAGCGATGGCGGTGGTGGTGGCAGGATCTGTAGCGGCTGTAGCGGCAGCAGCACCAGTGGCAGCAGCAGCTGTAGCAGGTGCTGCTGCTGTCTCATCCTTTTTGCGTTTCTTCTCGTCGTCTGGATCGATTGCGTCTGGCATTCGTGCTGCATCTTTTAGAAGGGCCTTTCCTCGAAACAGCATGTAGCCTGGCGGGGTGAGGGAAAGGAAGGGAAGGGCAGGGAGAGAGACAGCGAGGGAGAGAGAGAGGTTCAGGGCGATTAGGAACCTGATCTCCCCGCCGAGGTAGGGCGAGGGGAAAAGGGGTAAGGAGAGGAAGGGAGAAGCGTGAAGCAGAAAAGGGGGAGGGGGGGACGTACCTCCCAGCACGAGGTTCAGGGCGAGCAGAAACCCGGACGTCCCCCCATGCGACAGAGCAGGGCGGTACAGGGAGGGGTGGGATTGAGTGGGGGAAGCGGGAAAGGGGCAGGGGTATGGGGAAAAGGGGGGGGGGGGGACGTACCTCCCAGCACGAGGTTGAGGGCGAGCAGGAAACTGAACGCCCCTCGCATGCGGTACAGCAAGGGCGGGTCAGGGGGGAGGGGTTAAGTGGGGGACGGGGGAAGGGGGAAGTTGGGAAGTGGGGAAGGGGGACGGGGGAAGGGGGAAGTTGGGAAGTGGGGAAGGGGGACGTACCTCCCAGCACAAGGTTGAGGGCGAGCAGGAAACTGAACGCCCCTCGCATGCGATACAGCAAGGGGGGGCGGGGAGGCGCAGCTGTTGACGACGATCCAGGGGGAGCTCCGCCGGACAGGGGCGTTGGCGGAGATGCGGGGGAGGAGAAGAGGGAGAAGATGCCCCAGGGGGAGGAGCGCGCGGGGAGCTCTGGGGCAGATCTGGCTGCAGCTGCGGGGAGAAGGGGACAGAGTGGGGAGAAGGGGAGAAATCGGAGGCGATTTTGGATGGGGGGAAGGGAAGAACGAAACAGAGCGGTCTCGGAAAGAAACCGGCTCGTGTCTTGGATTGTGTGTGTGAGGCCACATTTCCACAAAGCCTGCTGCACTGCCATGCACTTCAATGTTGTTCCACGCACTGTCATAAGGTTGAACTAATCATCTAATAGTCCCCTCCTCAACCCCTTACACCCCTCCTTACCTCGGTAAGCTTATCCTCAAGTCGTTCAATCCTTCTCACCGCCTTTGACCGCTCCTCAACTCCCTCGGACCGTTCTCACCTCCTGCTGATTCCCGCGCCTTCTTTGGCCGTCGCGTGAAGAGTTTCAGCCTGCCCGACGTGTTGCCGCCTTGCGGATCCGCCATCGTACGCCGACTAGCTTATTCGCAGACCGACTAATTGCCCCGATAGCCGACTAACCAGCCGATTTCTCCTAGATCCACGTAGAAAATGTTCTCCAAAAAGAAGTCCCGTACAGTTTTTTCCCTTCCTGCTCCTGTTTCTTTCCAGCTGACCTTCGTGTCTTGGTGATCAACGGGTAAGACTAATCGAGACGAGCGAGCTTACAGCTGGGCCTCGTGGCGCGATACCAGGCCAGGGACGATCCTATCGAGGAGGATCGTAGCGGGGATGGTAAGACACGGAAGCTTTGACAGTGGAGGACGTTTGTAAATCAGGGGGGCGCGGAATTTGCCCGAAGCAGTGGATTGAAGATCCGCGATGCAGGATGACGCGTACGGAATTGACGTGGCTTCCAGAAGTACATTTGGAAAAGTTTAGCATCCATGCAGCACTGCCGATAACTCAATGTAAAAATTACTCTCAAGACATGGAGCATTACAGTACTTTGACTAGCAGATACACTAAACAATCAAGACTAGGTTGATTTTAACTAGGATAAACTACGCATTCACACGTATGTATATAAGTATAGATCTGCACACAGATAATGCTAATAGAACATACCAGGCAATAAGTGCTTGCCTCCACTCTACACCTCACATGGAAGATGAACGTCGAGCTCGTTCATATCCTCCGATGCATGCAGACGCAAATCATGCTCATTAGCCAAATGCAGCACACAGATGAAGCACAGGTGCACTGAAATGTCACTCAGTGCAGCAGCCCTGCAGTTGGCCGGGAAATTATGGAGCACTCGATCGAAGCTGATCGGGCCGGAGGAGAATTCGTCATCATCCTGCTGCTCCTCCCTCTCATGGGCATGGCGCCGTTGCAGCTCCACCCAGATAGTGTCTTTCAAAATCTTCACATCCACCTGCTTTGACTGTCTCGCATAGTTGACGTCAATCTTTTGTGCCTGCAAAGTAAATCGCGCAAACAGTGACCAAGATGAGAAGGTGGAGTTGCACACAGAAGGATAACAGAAGGAGTGGATGGAAGGAGTGGATAAAAGGGAGGTAAAACGCAGTCACACACTGCAACCTCAGCATGCCAATCAGCAATAGGCACAGAGAAAGATAACAAAACAAGCTACCAGAACGCCACCATGGACAGCAGAGAGAAGGAAGGATAGTGCTGAAGAATTTCTCACCTTCTTTGGCATTGGAACCAGATCCTCCATGAAATCATCTGCTGGCTTCACCTCTGCAGAATCCCCTTGCCCATCAAAATCGTCTCCATAGTCAAACGGATCAGCACACTCGTCCCCTCCCCACGCGTCCTCAAAAACGTCTTCACTGCCACCAACCGCTGCAAACCCATCTCCACCGCCTCCATCCCCGAACCCCTGCTTCTCCCCACCCCGCCCCCTGGCCTTCCGAGCCAAGAAGTTCCAATTCGAGCTAATAAAAGCCGTTGCCAACTTGCGCCCATCATAGTGGTAGTCCTTCGGAAGCAAGGTATTCACCACCTTGCGACCAGCCTTGGTCAACTGAATTTCCTTCAGCGCTTTAGGGGCCTGAAACAAGGACTCATCTATTTGAGGGTCTGAGAAGTCAATAAGCTCCGACTTTGCTGCTCTCTTCTTCCTCCCCTTTGCCTCAGGAGCTGCTGCAGGCGCCTCCTCCTTGGACTTAACAAAGTGCCAGTGCTTAGGCCCAGCCCACGCGTTGCTCCCCTTGAGCCTCGTCATCCCCATGCCTGCTGCTAGCCAATCCGCAGCGTCCATACCATCATCAACATCCGAATATCCATTCTCCCCATCAGAATCCCCCGCTGGGATCATCCCGGGAGCATCAGCACCAGCAAACGGCGGGCCAGCGAACCCACACCCATCATCATTCCACCCATCATCTCCACCACCACCAAAATCGACCACAGAGCCATCGTCATTATCATCTCCAAACGGAAACCTTCCTCCCACCCCACCCACTGGCTCATCTCCCGCATCAAACGCCTTAAATCCCTCTGCGCTTCTAACAGCATTCCCATCCATGTCATGAGAGGAGTCCTTGGCACTGGCACCAACAGCTGCCTTCCAACGGTGATCATCAGCCAGCTCGTAGAGAGCAGAGATGGACGGAGTGATTTCCCAGCTCTCGGGGTCATCCGCGCTCAGGAGGAGCTCCACTTCGCCTGCCAGCCAGCAACACATATTTGTCCTATGAGTCATTAATTGTCTACCCATGATGTTGGCTATCAGGGCAGCACGTATCTGTCTCATGAAAGTGTGACTATCTACCTTTGAAACGGAATGTTTGGCGAGCATGTCAACACAGTGTCTGTCGTCGGTGGGATTTCATTTGAGGTGAAAACGATTTTTAAGCGGCACCGACAGGGTGGTCATTGCATGTTTTCTGGATGCGAGAAGAAACGAAGCATCCACGGTAAGAAACACATTGAGTTGCGAGAGAATATGGACTCACGAAATGCAAAGGAAATGTCCACGTAATCCTTCCCCTGCTCCTCCGGCTGCGTGCGTGAAGGGTTCACGATGATGGCCTCCGAATCGAACATGATCTCGCACCCGTTGAACACAGGGAGATTGTACAGGAGCAAGCCGCTTGCTCCCCCCTCGTCGAATTGACCAGAAGTTTTCGTGAAAAGGGGGTCCGTGACAATGGCACCTGAAGATCCAGGTCACAATCACTAAGAGGTCAGTATAAAATGAGATATGACGTAAGCAAGATAGAGTTACGTTTCGTTGACTCACGTTCAAGCTTCTTGACGTTGATCTGGTCAAGGTTATCCTCCAGTGTGCTGGATGTTGCAGGCAGCTGCATGCACAATGAAACACAAACGATGCCACGGGTAAGTAAGGCCACCTCGACTTTCGTACACAAGTCATTTCAAACATCAGAAGCAGACACGTAACATAAAACAGGATGTCCCATTACCTTCTTCTGAGACTCTCGCCGGCTGCCGTTGCCTTCTTCCTGGTCAACTCCTTCGTCGTCTTCTCCTGCAATAACGCAGGACCAAGGAGTCAGTGATATCAGCAGCAACCTACCGAGATGGAACGAAAAACGACGGTTTTCTTGTTTTAACATTTGAATGGTCTGTACACATACGTACGTGTATCGCCTGCCCGCGTCAGGCCGCTGAGCACTTTGTACGTCTCGGAATGGATGGAGTCGACTCGGTACGAATAGATCTTTACGCCAGCCTCCAGCGTGCAACTAGCCTGCAGTACGAAGGATGATGGCAGGAAATTGATAAGTACACTACCAAGGTATCTGTTGAGGCGCCTAAGTAATAGACCTTCACATTCAGGATGGAGATATCCTGTCGTAAGAAGAAACTCGACTCGGTACGACGGATGATGCTAGTAAAAGGATGAAACAAATACCATTTCGCAAATCTAAGCGAAATCGAACCTTCTGGAAGTTGGTCTGCGTGTCGTTTTCGCAGTCCGCCTTGACGATTTCCGACATGTGATCAATGAGATCAAGATCCCATGTGTTCTTCTGATTGATTTTCTGCACAGATCAACATCGGTATGGGATGTCAGCTCCGTACAGACAAACTGGTCACTACTCGTCCTCCAAATTAAGCAGCCGTGGTCAGCATGACTTCGTTTTCGGAGACCTTACATTCTCAGCTGCCAGCTTAGTGCAGTTCTGGTACAAGGTAAGGAGCCGATCTCCAGACATCTCTTGAGGGTCGCAGCTAGCGCGTTTCTTATTCGCTTCTTTCATTCGGTCTGCGAACAGCCTACGCTGAGCTGCCTGACGCTCCTCCCTAATCTTCCGCTTCTCCAGCTCGTCATCGTTGGCGCCAAACGGAATGAAGGCAGGTGATTTGGGATAAAGACTAGGGGACTTGAACATAATCGGGCCACCCTCACGCTGTAAAGGAGATCGACCATCCATTATTGCAACAGCTCTCTAATTCTTCTATAAATAAACGTTGGAAGGAGAAGAGTCTCGGCAATCTCTGAACGTGAAATGCTCAATAATGTCTACGACAAACCAAACAAACTGAAATCTAGGCGAAGTAGACGGAGGAAACTCCAAGGCCGTGGAGAATGATAGTCCAGTAGAAGACTCAGCCAGTTGTCGTCGGGCAGCGCGTAGGCAGCACTTCAGGATGCTGGTGAGCATTCCATTGCACCTAGAGGAAACCTTGGGAATTCCGTCAAACGACCAAGCTCAGAGAAGAAGTGTGATGCTCTAGATTCCAGTGTCCTCAGAATTTGGAGGGGGAAAAGGTTTGTTCACAACACATTAAACGAAATGCACCGAACAGGACCGTGCTGTAAAGCGCTGCACGCTGAGATGTGAAGGAGAATGGTGGAACTGGAGATTCTGTAGGCTGGGGGGAAGATGGGCTGGATGGAGCCTGGAGGAAAGCTGGGCTCAATTGTGCCGAGCCGAGACGCGGGACCTGGCATGTTGTCAGCGAGGCTCGGCGGGAAACACAGAGCTTGCCGCGTCAACTCAAAGTTGCAGTTTGCGTCAATTCGTTACTGTAAAGTGGCGAAATTCGTACAGTTGCGTCTACACTGTTTAGCTTCCTCGTAAAATTCTATATACACAGGCACAAAGTCAAGTCCCTCCCGCATTCTTGAGTTTCGAAACCTGGGCAAAACAGCAATTCCACTTGGCGGGACAACAGAGGTCAGTTTTCCAGAGTGTGCAAACCTCTTCTGGCTGCGCACCAGACCACGCCACCCGCCTCAGCTATTTCTCGTCAAACAGACTCCCCCCAGCCCCATCCACAACACCACGTCAGCAAATCCAGCCTGGGTCAGCTTTTCAATACCTCCACGTGTTTGACCTCTCTTACGACACATCAGAGCCACATCCCCTACTCCTTGGGATCGTCTCGTGCTCTGGGAAATCCATCGTCCAGGCTCCAGGACTCGTCCAGCTTGGGGGAACTTCAGTGTTTCCTCGTTCCTCTCCCTCCCCTTACTGTACCAGAGCTGCTGCAGCAGCCTGCTGCTGCTTCTAGAACCTACAAACTGCCACACCCTTCCAAGTTTGCTTCTCTTTTTCCCATTCCAATCTTTAGGCCGTTGACGGCTTCTGAGCTTCGGTTACCGAAAGCTTGCTCGCCGCATTTCCTCAGCAGCTTCTCGTTGCTCGATTAGCCATTTGTCGACGGTCTAGTTTCTGCCTGAGCTCGCATAGAAATACCAGAATGGCGTCAGTCACGAAATTGACGACGTCAGTGCTTTCGAGCAGTGTCCTCCCGGCACTGCCTAAGACCACTTGCAATGTAAGGGATCTTGCTGTCCTTCGTGCCGATGTCTTATTACCAGTTCTTGCTCCGAAAAAAAAATCGACTCGTTACGATCACTTATGTCAAGCTCCTAGGGTTCTTCTCGATTCCTTGACGTACAGTGTCCCACAGTTGGTTTTCGCCCAAGTAGCTGTTATTTTGTTGTTCTCAGTCTTCTTGTGAACCAAAATTCCTTTTCCAGGCTCGCGCTGCTCTTCCAGCGGCTGGATTTCCGCAGGTTCAGCTCCGCCTTCACCAAAACCGCCTTAGGTATGTCGCAGACGTGATTTGGCGCCCGTAAAAAATAATGCGGCATGTGCACCTGGATGTGTCTATGTCGTCATTTGGCGGCCTTTTCTTCGTAATCTCGTGCCGACGTTCGAACTACACGTCGTAGGCCCTTGAATGTCTTAAATTCCACAATCCGTGATTTCAATGCAGTTTATCCAACATTCACCGCACCTACTTGATCCCCCCCCTCCCTTTTTCTTCTCCACCGCCTTTTCCCGCTCCCCGCAGAGCCAGCTTCCAGAAGAGCCTTCATCTCCCCGTCTCCAGCAGGGCGTTCCCTTGTGTGAGGGCCGTGAGCGTGGAGGGAGAGACGGCAGTGGAGGAGGCAGTGGAGGCTGTTCCCGAGAGCACCGATGCCGCTGCCGAGCAAACGCCTGCTCCTGCTGCTGCTGAGGAGAAGACGGAGGAGAGGAAGGCGCGACCTGGGGCTACCAGGAGGAGAAAGGTTACAGTGAACGTTGAGGACCTCCAGCCCGGCCAGGAGCTCACTGGCAAAGTTGTGAGTGTCGCTCTGTTCCTCGGCTCATTGTTTCTGGGTTCCCTGTCTCTCTGTTCATCCTTTATGTGGGCTTTTCAATTAAGAAGCGGCTTAAAAAAGCGAAACACTTCTCATTACCCGTGTTTGGGTCTGATCAGGAGATGGTTGTTCGTGCGTGGTTCGGTTTACGTGGTTCTACCTAGTGTCATGGATTGCGCGTTGCTAGGGTTTATCCGAGCAAATCTCACCGTTTTTTTTTCATTTTTTTTTTTTTCCTTTTCCCTGATCGTTCTGTTCTCCGGGTGCGCATTTTTTTTTTCCTTTTCCCTGATCGTTCTGTTCTCCGGGTGCGCAGCGCTCCGTGAAGCCGTACGGAGCCTTCGTCGACATTGGCGCGTTCACCGACGGGCTCGTCCACATTTCCCAGCTCGCGGTACGTAAATGCGGGACTTTCGAAAATATCTCATGGCAAATTAATGACGTATCCCGGAGCTAGTTTGCTAATGTAGCTAATTATTTCTGCCTTTATCGATGCATCATGCACATCTCCAGCCGGGGGTAAGGAGTTGCACATGCGCCATCTATAGCTCATTAGAAGGGTAGGTTGTGAAGCGCGTAGATAGCGTGCCCAATGGATGTAGGACAGTAGGAGCTAGTGTCGAGAAATGTCTGTGGAAGTTGCGGTAATCGTAACGGCTGCACTAGTGGTTACTTGATCCCTGTCCCGCCTTGCCAGCTATTTCCCAGTGTGACCGTTTCGTTTACTGCCGCCGGCGAATTTCGTGGACGATGTTGAGGACGCGCTAACCGGCTTGGCGCGCCTCAGAGCACCCTTCTTTCCCATTTTTCGCACAGGCTAAAATCTTCGTGGAGAAGTGGAGGATGTGGTTGCTGACTAGAGACCTCAGAACACCCGTTCCCCCCTCTTTTTCGCACGCTTCTTTCGCCGCAGGCGGGTTTCGTGAACAAGGTGGAGGATGTGGTAACCGTCGGGCAGGAGGTTGTAGTGCGAGTGATCGAGGCCAGCAAGGAGTCTGGTCGAATCGCGCTCACCATGCGCGACCCGGAGGCGGAGCGCGTGGCGGCGGAGGAGACGGCGGCGGTGGATGCGGAGCGGAAGGCGTCGGCGCAGCAGCGGCGGTCGGAGCCCCGCCAGGAGGGCGCGGAGGGAGACGCGCCTGAGAGGAAGGTCGCGGGCAGGGGGCGCAGGCAGCAGCGGGAGGATCAGAAGCCGACGCATAACTACAAGAAGGGGCAGAAGGTGAAGGGCGTGGTCAAGAACCTGACGTCATACGGATGCTTCGTGGAGCTCGAGGGGAAGGTGGAAGGGCTCCTCCACGCGTCCGAGATCACCGCTGGAGGTAAGCTCACTCAAAGGTTTAGTGTCTGGAACATGGTTGAGGGTTGTGAGTAATGGGTTGGAAAGTGAAGGGCGTGGTGAAGAACTTGACCTCGTACGGATGCTTCGTGGAGCTCGAAGGCAAAGTGAAGGAGCTCCTCCACGCGTCGGATATCGCCCCTGGAGGTGAGCTAGCTGTTGTATCGTGACCTTAATGGGCTAACTTGGAAGCACTGAATGGCTAACTGGGAAGCACTGAATGCCGATGAATGAGTCGCTGGAATAACGGACGTCGTTGCCGCTCCTCTTTCCACTCACACTCCAGGTGACATGGCGCCTGTGGAGTCGCTGGTGTCTGTGGGCCAGGAGCTTGAGGTCGCATTCGCGAACGATTGGAACGATTGAAACTAAATCTTTTCAAACCCCTCTTTCCTTCTCCCCCTTTCCCCGCACCAGGCGACATGGTGCCTGTGGAGTCGCTGGTGTCGGTGGGCCAGGAGCTCGAGGTCACAATCGCCAAGGTTGAGGTGAGTCCTTTTCAGGCTGACGCGGGACAGTGGAACGAGGGGGGGAAAGCTGGGAAGGAAGGGGGGGATGCTGTGCTACTAGTGGTTTAACGAAGTGTTTTGTTATATGTCAGTTCATTTTCTCTTCAACTTTTTTTTTTGCTCTCGTCGCAGCTCCTTAGGAATGTGAAGCTGTGATACAATACAATGGAGCCTGTTATTTCTTGCAAACAACATGCTGAAAGCTCTTTTATTTATATACCGAATCCTCCTTCCTGCTCATTTTCGTTTCTCCGTGACATTTCCATGAGCAGAAGAACCGCATCAGCCTGACAATGAAGGAAGAGGTCGATGTGAGTATCCTTTCCGTCCTCGCCCCTCACCATTCCCACCTAGTGCACCGTGACCCTGTATAGTAGTGTCGTTTCTTGTACAGTGTTAGGCCACCATGCCCTTCACCGTACCCGCCTAGTGCACCGTGACCCCCTGTACTGTCGTGTGTACCCCGCCTTTCTTGTACAGTGTTGTGCCACCATGCTTTCACCATGTCCCCTGGGGATCCCCGCACTTAATGGTCTTGGCGCCCATCTGACCCTCATTCTCGTATCATTGGGCTCCTAACCCTCGCACTTCCTCTCTCCGTTCCCTTCCCCCTCCCGCCATCACGTGACGCTCTTCAACGAGACGAGCCCCCAGGACGAGGAGATCCGCGCGCTCAACCCCTCCGAGGCGGTACAGACAGTGCTTCTGACCACAACCCTTGGATCTATCTACCCATATTTCCCCTCCCCTCCCAACAGGTGACGCTCTTCAACGAGACGAGCCCCCAGGACGAGAAGCTCCGCACGCTCAACCCCTTTGAGGCGGCCTTCCGCTCTCGCTTTGACACCCTGTCCCCCCATCTTTCCCCATTCCCCCTCCCGTCATCAGGTGACGCTCTTCAACGAGACGAGCCCCCAGGACGAGGAGATTCGCGCGCTGAACCCTTTC